AGGAAGATGGGGCTTCTGCCAATATTTATATAATAATTACGCAGAAGGCTTCACTTTTTAGGGTAATACCTGACCACATATCTAGAAAAATTAGGTACAAAGAAGTCTTCATATCATAAAATAAGTCTTCCGCCAATATTTTGCGCACTTGCCTACCCTAGATATAATATCATAACAGGGTACATATCTAGGAAGGATAAGTCTTCTGCTATTATTTTGCGCACTTGCTTACCCTAGATGTCATATCATACCTGGGTACATATCCCTAAGCACTTCTGAAGTTACCTCATATCCGGACACATACCTAGGAAGATTAAGCCTTCTGCCATTTTTATATAATATAATTCCGCAGAAGGCTTCATTTTTTCAGATACATCTGAGTGTCTTTCTTTTACGTCTTGCTTAATAAGTTCGCTATCGCCTCTTTTTTCGAAGGACGAAAAAATTAATTAAACATTTCGGAAATATATTGGAGTATATAAAGTTTTACTTACTGACGACATGCATACCTCAACTATTTCTGACCAAACTGTTCGAGGAACTCTCGCCCGCTACAACGGCGCCGGCCTTTTAGCTGGTATCCCATCACATAATGATATTGTGGCAGAATTCGATAATGGGATGACCACTATACTTCAACAAAGCCTATCCGGCAAGCAACCCATACATTTCATGCCTACTGAAGTTAGTGATGATATCGAGGGGTATTCCTCCTATATCTTGCGTATCACTGGTTCTTTGATTAATGGGCAAAAGGTGGTCGTGAATATCACAGGTATCCGACCATTCTTCGATGTTGAAGTACCTGAAAACCATTCCCCCTCTTCACTTAAGACCACATTAGCACGCATTTTATCAGTTACACTCAAAAATACAACAAAATTTGGGTTTGAGGATATTCGTGCTTTTCCACTTCAGGGCTATTATACAGAAAAGAAAGCATATATCCGTATAAGGACGTGGAACCACTTTGATCGGTATAATGCCCTAAAAGCAGTTCGTGAAGTCGGCATTCGTACAGCCTCAGATGATCTAAACTGCCAGTATTATTACCGCAAAGTAGCTCGTGAAGAACGATTACCTCTTTCAAGCTGGGCCGTATTAAGCAATTATTTATAAGAATTCACCACGGATGGTACTTACCTATTTCGACTATCTGTGAATAATTATAATCCAATAAGTGAGGAAGATTATAATAATACATTATTCTCCTCGGCACTTACGAGGGATCGAACCCTCATACTCACATGGGATATTGAGACATATAGTTAACGAAAAACAGGCGAGGTGCCTAACGCAAAATATGATAAAGACAGAGTGTTTATGATTTGTATGACAGTGCATTGGAAAGATGATCCCGAACTGTTAAAACAAATCTGTCTTGTCGATGTTGAAACAGCACCAGAGCCAGGCTGGATCACAATTGTATGTGGATCCCAGACAGATTTAATAAAAGCATTCACTTTATGTTGGAAACTTCTAGCCCCAGATATACACATAGGATTTAACGATTCTCAATACGATTGGCGGTTTATTGTAGAGAAAGTTAATAAATTAGGAGTTCTCGAATGGATGTTCAATCATATGTCATTCAAGCCATCGAGCCTGGAAAAAATTATAAAATGGGAATATCGATATAATATGATAAAAGTAAATGATGGAAAATTCCATTCGAAACATCTTAAAATTCCGGGATGTGTAGCTATTAATGTCTGACCCTGTTTTATGGGAATTTATTCTAAGGCTGAAAAGAGTAGTTTAGCATTTTACCTAAATGAATGTGGGCTTGAAAGTAAAATGGATATGCCTATTCACCGCATGAACAAATATTATGAAAGGGCATTAAAAGAGCCAGATTCCATGTCGGCCGAACAAATGCGTGAAGTGGCCAAATATTGTATTATCGACGCTCTTAGTTGCCAGCGGTTAATGGTAAAGCATAATGCAATTAATGAGTATAGAGAGGTGGCATCCGTAGCCTTCTTATCATTATTTGATGCACATTATTTTGTGGGAGGTATGAAGGTTTGCAACCTTTTAAGTGCTAGCGCATGGCAAAGAGGGATCCTAACCAGTATGATTTCAAGCCAACAAACAGAAACTGGAAAATACCCTGGAGCCTATGTTTTCCCACAAGTAAAGGGTCTCGAAAATAGACGTCCTGTAACTGGCTTAGATTTCGCATCTTTGTATCCAAGCCTTATCATGACATACAACCTTTCGCCCGATAAAATGATTTTATCTCGAGAACGTGCTGAACAAAGTGGTAAAAAACTCCACGAAATTAGTTTTAAATTCAATAATTAGGATTGTCTCGTATGGTCTATCCAACATAATAACATTCCCGAAGAAAAAGGTCTCTATGCCATTGTGTTAGAATATTTATCTAGTAAACGGAATGAGATGAAAAAACGTCTCGCTCCCTTGAAAGAGAAAAAGGAAAACATGGATCTGGTAATTGGTTTAATGGATAAAGGTTTATCATTACCAGGAGCTATTGAGCAAGTCTTAGCAACTACAGAGGAAAAAAAGCGTGCCAGCCTTAGCAAAAGTTTACATCATTTTATTAATAAGAAAAAACATGAATTTATAGCAGAATATGATTCTATTTGTTTCGACTGCTCTTGCTTAGATGCGAAACAATATGCTCTTAAGGTGTACATGAATACATTTTATGGCACTGCTGGAGATAGTAAATCCCCCTTCTTCTTGCGTGAACTTGCTGGGAGTGTTACTTCGGCTGGACAGAGAAATATCAAATTCGTTGCGGATTTCGTCAAGAGAAAGGGATTTGGAATAAAATATGGTGATACGGATTCCTTGTATCTAGTCTGTCCAGAAGAACGCTTCCAGAGGTGTGATGAGGCTTATGATAGTGGCAACGGGATCTCAAAAGAAGAATATTGGTCTCGAATGGTGGAAATCTCTATGGTGGAAATGGAAAAACTTCGTGATGAAGTTAATGACTTTCTCAAGGAAGATAACGGATCCCCTTATCTTAAAATGGCATATGAGAAAGTCTTATTTCCGGTAGTATTTACTGGAAAGAAAAAATACTATGGTATCCCGCATGAAAGCAAGCCGAACTTTAATAAAAAGCTTTTCATTCGGGGAGTTGAGGTTGTAAAGCGGGGGCAGTCTAAACACTTTCGTGAGGTGGGTAAGAAGGTCATGGGAGAATCTATGAGGCTGGATAATACTCGCACCTTGCGTCGGATTGTGGAGGACGTGCTCAAAGAGACCATAAATGATATTTCACAGATAGATCTTAATGGGGTGATTAAAACTGCTGTGTGGAAGCCCGATAAGAATAACAAGAGTGTTCAGCGTTTTATTTCACGAATGCGAGACAGACATACTCGTGAAGAAGCAGACGCCAAACGGCTCATAAAAAGAGGGCTAACATCCGAGCCTTATCTTTATGAAATCCCAGAACCGGGTGAGCGTTTTGAGTATGTTGTAGTTGAGAATAATTCATCAGATAAGGTCGGAGATAAAATGGAGTATCCAGAGGTAGTGAGGCGATTAGGTAAAAAGATCGATATCAGCTATTATCTGAAAACCGTCGTCGGCCTCTGTGCACGATTTATTAAATATGATGAAAGTTTCCAGCCATCATCTGAAATTGTGCTGGAGGCCTTAAAAAAGTTGAAAGATGCTAATAAAGCGGGTGATAATAAAGCGGATGACGGTGGGGTGGATGGAGATGACCTGGATGAAGACGAAGAAGATAAAGATGAAATGGATGAAGATGAGGTATCAAAAATAAGAGATGTCTTAGCGCAGAAATTGGCTGAAAAGTGGATTAGGGGGTATATCAAAAGCCTACGTGATGGTCCGAAAAAAGATAAAACCATCATATCTCATTTATGGGAAGGGGCACGCATTTACGAGAAAAAATTATTTGATACTAATTATGCCAACAAGGGAGAACACCTGACTAACAATGCTTATTACCAATCATTACTCAATGCGCTAGATAAGCAAGAAGAATCCATCCGCTTAAAACTTTCATCATTGCTTAAAGAAATTTCAGAGGTTGATATAGAGTATAGAGACAGTATGTATAAATTAGTTACTAAGAAGAGACACAGAGCAATATCCTTAGAACAATATTTAACATCATATTATTTGGATGAGTGGGTCCCAAAGGGACCGTGTAAGCTACTAGCAGATTTCAGAAACATATGGTACAAAGTGGTTGGCCTAGAAATCACACGCTACCGAACATTATCAAAATTACAGGATAGCAAAAAAGATGATTCATCCGAATCAGATATAGACGAGATTATCGAATTATATGGATAAGTACTCTTAGCGGGATGTGGAAATTTCAGCTAAGAAACTTAGGCGTTAAGGTGCTTCGCATAATATTATTTATATATTTTTTCTCGTGTAATAATACCGGCTAACTTCAATTCCTATATTCGATCTGGGTTTGCAAGACAAACATCTCTTCCGGCCTCCGATCATACAGCCCGACCTCGGATATGCCTGAAGATAATTATTAGTATTTTGCATATCAAAGTTTACGATCAGCCGAAAAATCCACATATTTTAAAGATAAGCTTTATTGGTATAATGGCCGAACTACGTGACCAAGTTTCCCAGTACATAGGCTTCGAACCCAACAAAATCCATCTCCCGATCACAGAAGATGATAGATGGTTATTTCGCAAAATAATAGCAGATCAGGAAGGGATGAGAGATATCGTAATGGATGACTATCAATATTTACTACAACACGGTCATAATGGTAAGGGAGGTAACCGGATCCATATTGGATGGTTGTTTGCATGTAC